CCCCGTCCCCCAGCCCCCCCCGCCATGCAGGGAGTCTGGGGCCGCGGGGTGAGCGGTACCTCTTGGCATTGGAGGCACTAAGGTAAACGCGCCGCTTCCCCTTGCTAGCGCTGCACTTCCCGCCGCCCTGCCCGGGGAGCGAGCGGGCTCCTAGGGGCTCTGGGAAGCCTGGCCCGCCGCTTACAAGTTGGCCACTTCTTTGCCAGCCCCGGCGGCCCCACTCCGCGGCCGGTTCCGGCGCTTACACTGAGCTGCCCTGTAGCGCCCCGCGGGACAGCTGTGGTGCGGAGGGGTAGGAAGGAACCTAAAGCTGCTGCTAGGCTGGGGAAAGGGGCTGCACAGCTGTGCTCGGCTCTCCGCTAGGAGCGGCAGACGCACGTGGCCCACGCTGAAAACCCTGGGTCCAAATCTGCCCCCTGTGAACGAGCAGTTGTTGCAACTTCTCTCTGCTGATTGCAGCCCCTACCGGTCTCTCTCCCTGCAGAGAAACCAGCTTCTCCCGCCTGGGTGCTGCTTGAGCAACGCGCATCGAAAGTTCACAAAGTTGGAAGTCAGGGCTCAGTGTTGCAAGAGAAGCGGGGGAAGGCACGTGGGCTGCCAGTGAGTATGGGATGACTCGGGCTTGCCCGCAGTGATTTTTCACTCTGGGATGCTCGCTCTCCCCTAGGAAGGTAAAGGCGAGGCAAAGGCTGATCTCCCGCCAAGGGAGGAGCTCTCAGCCATGAGGATCGCGGTGACTCCAGCGTATCCCGCGGTGCCTTACAATCCGTTTAAATGTCGGTAATAGCTCGAGGTTGCCGCCTGTACCCAACCTGGGCAGGCTGCCGCCGCCGCCAGCCTGTGTTGGGGCGCGGGATGCGGGGCAGTAGGTGCACACGCTTTGGAATAGGAACAGCCACGGCAACAAACTTGCGGGAGCCAAGGCTGGGCTGCTCCCCCGGGACGCGCTATTTAAACCCGTTACTTTTCCCGGGAGTTTGTTCAAACATTCGGATTCACTCGGCTGCCCAGATGATTTGTGCCGCACACGGCGCTTCATTGGGCAGCGGCGCCTTCATCCCGTGGGCTCTCCTGCCTGCCTCACCGAGCCCATTTGCACCTGTCGTTGGGAGACCGCACGGGTCCATTGTGTCCATGTCTCGCGGCCGGCCGAGCCTGCTTAGCGAGAGACTTGCCTGCTCGCCTGACGGGGTGTGTGGGGGGGGGAGGAGATGAGGACAGGGTCAAGTGCCCCGGGGTCTACACGGCTGCCGAGGGAGTAGTGCAGCGGCTGCGGGCTGTCGTGCGGCGGCCGGGACGGAGTCCAGGACAGAACCGCGCTCCAGCACAGTGATGGAAAGAGGCAGGAGTGAGGACTTGCGGGGTGGCTTGTGCGTGACTCTCCGCCCCAGCTGAACGGCGGGAGAGGATGCACGGGGGGCACGGGACGGAGCTGGGGCGGGGCTCGGCCTCCCCCCGGGGTGCGTTACGGGTAGGCTCCAGTTCTTAGGTACCTGGCACCGAAGGCTGGGAGGGAGGGAGGGAGGGGGCGGCTGTTGGTCGATCTCTCTGCGGCGCCGGCTGCAGGGAGGGTCTTTGGGGCACGCGAAAAAACTTTTCCCCTTTTGCAAACTTGCCGGTGTGCGCGCAGCCGGACCTGCTGCTGCTCGCGGGAAAAGCGCCCAAACGCCCTGTCAGTGCACGAGCCCGGGCACTCACAGCGGGCTGCAGTGCCCAAGCTTAGTGCATGTTAGCGTCTGCTTCCGCGTAATGCAAGGAAAAATCCCCTTCGTTCGTTTGATCTTTGTATTTAAATGGCTTGGTTTGCAGAGGCGATGGGACGTAGGCCCCCCGGTTTGCACAGACAGGTGCCCTGAAGTCCGGCTGCTGTTTGTTGTACTGTGCTTCGCACCGCGTTTGATCACAGCCAGACGCCGGAACTCTTGGGAGCGAGGCGGCTGCTGCTGCTGTTTCAGTTACTTGATAGTGGCCAGACCGATCGTGGACGGTGCCTGGAGGAGACTTGCTGCCTCTTGTAGGGGAACGTTGCAAGCCGGGGGGGAACAGGGCGCGAATTTGCAGGGGAATTTGCTTTGCCCAGTCCCGCCTTTTCGCAGGGTGATTACTGTGCTGCGGTTCGCTGGAGCGCAGCGGGGTTTCCCCGGGAGGTGCGATTTAGCTGCTGCTCCGGCTAGAGTGACTCGCTCAACGCCCCCTCTTTCCTTGGCTACCTGCTGCCAAGGTGGCAAGGAGTAGGCAATACAGAATGTTGCTGCTGGTGGTTGAGAGAAAGTTTACTGGTGAGTATGGGGTGCCCGATCTTAGAATGGACTCCCACACAAAATAGATTTGCGAGATTGGCTCAATTGTGACAGAATTACCACGTTTAGATAATTTGTGAGAATTTCTGAAGGACTCCAGCACTATTAAATTTAGCACCACATCACTTGTACCTGAGATCACTGTTCAAAAAAAGTTATACCACATCGTGCACTTGATAAGTTGGGGGAAATCAGCTTTCCACCAAAGACGAGGAGGAGCTTCTGTTTCAAATACACAAGGAGTGATGTGCCTTTTCTAATGTTTTTCTTTTACAGATGCCTTTTGATTCTCCAATTGCTGAAATGTGTTGAGAGCTGCAGCCACCTTTCCAACAATGAACAGTTCAAAATCACCAGTGCTGGCAGGATTTTTTACAAACACAACCTGTCACACACACAAGAAGATTTCGGTATTTTTTTCAATAATCTTCATGACGGTGGGGATTTTATCCAACAGTCTTGCAATAGCAATTCTCATGAAGGCATATCAGAGATTTAGACAGAAATCAAAAGCATCCTTTTTGCTTTTTGCTAGTGGTTTGGTTATCACAGATCTTTTTGGCCATCTCATCAATGGAACTATTGCCGTTTTTGTGTATGCCTCTCACAAAGACTGGATTCGATTTAATCAATCAAACATTCTCTGTAGTGTTTTTGGCATATGTATGGTATTCTTTGGCCTGTGTCCTCTCTTTCTGGGCAGTGTGATGGCTGTTGAACGTTGTATCGGAGTCACTAAACCAATATTTCATTCTACAAAAATGACTTCTAAACATGTGAAAATGATGTTGACTACGGTATGTCTCTTTGCTGTTTTTATAGCGTTGCTGCCTATTCTTAGCTTTAGAGCATATCAAATTCAAGCATCGAGGACCTGGTGCTTTTATAAAACAGAACATATTGAGGACTGGGAAGACAGATTTTATCTCTTACTCTTTTCTTGCCTTGGGTTACTGGCCCTTGGTGTTTCGTTTTTGTGCAATGCTGTCACAGGAATTACTCTCTTAAGAGTCAAATTTAAAAGTCAACAAAGACAAGGCAGATCCCATCATTTTGAAATGATCATTCAGCTCTTGGCTATAATGTGCGTCTCTTGCATTTGCTGGAGTCCGTTCCTGGTAAGAGCCTAATACATTTGTCAATTTTAATGTACATATGTATCTGAAGCTTGTCTTTTTTTATCTGCAGGTTGTTGACTGGCTAGTCATGGTGCACACTACACAGTTCACACTTTTAACATCACATGTTATGATTACAAGCATCTTATTATATCAACTGCATATTGCGTATGGCACTCTGACCTACACATCTGTAAGAAGATGGGATTTCTTTTCATTTCTTACTAGAAATTAAATTTAGCAGTAAGCGGAATATGATTATAAAAGCATATTTATACTCTCTAAACTAAAATTAACATTGATGTTAGTGCAACAATAGGAGATTCTCCAAAAATGTCCACTAGACCTGTCTGAAAATAGTGTCATAAAATGGTTTCACAAATCTGAGTAGTTGTATTTGTAGTGAGGACAATGTGAATCTTGCATGAGGTACCTGGATTTGTGAGCCCCTGTGTTGCCCATCTCAGCTTCATTAAGTAAGAATTTGTAAGGTGTGCATGTGTCAGCTTGCTGATGTGGCAGCTTGTCTGTCTTGCTGGCAAACTCTTGAGGAGTCTGCCAGTTCAACTTTGCCTCGCAGTAACAATCAAAGAATCTGAGTTCTCCAGAGACATCTCTCCGCAGTCCAAAATGTATAGGATCATGAGCTTTTATCAAGTGGGTTTTACCCACGAAAGCTCATGATGCTGTATATTTTCTAGTCTCTAAGGTGCCACAGAACTACTCATTGCTTTTGAAAGCAATTAACTTATGTGAGTATTCAGTGGGAGTACTCACATAAGTTAATTGCTTTCAAAAGCAATGAGTAGTTCTGTGGCACCTTAGAGACTAGAAAAAATACAGCATCATGAGCTTTCGTGGGTAAAACCCACTTGATGAAAGCTCGTGATCCTATACATTTTTGTTAGTTTCTAAGATGCCACAAGACTACTTGATTTAAAGTTAGAGAGGAACATGGCTAACTTTCTGAGACTTTATGTTAAAAAAAAATACGTTTAAAAAAAAATACACATCCCAGCCTGGTTGGTAGCCGAAGACTCAACCTCTACTTTTAATATGTAATACTGAGGTGATTTGTAATAAAACAAGAATAAGTTTATCATCAGAGAACAGAGACTTAAGCAAAAACAAAAAGCAGGTGTGGTTACAGACAAAACACACTTCCTAGGAATTAAAACTCAATTTCAGCAAGTTGCAATCTTCCTCTAAGCAGGTTTCTCAAGTCTCCAGACATTTCTCTTCCAGTTCAAGAGGATCTAGCTTTCTTTGGCTCAAAGGCAACCATATATTGTCATTCCCTAAATGAAAGATAATTCTAATGTGGATGGCGCTAAAATTCAAGTTAAGATACTTCGACTTAAGCTACGCAATTAACTTAGTGAAAGTTGCACATCTTAATTCAAACTTATCCCTTAGTGTAGACCAGGCCTCAGTGTAAACTGTGTCAGTACTCAGAGTCGGAACGCATACGATTGTCAGTAAAGAATCGTAAAGTTTCAAATTCTTATTTTGTCCTATAATGGCATTAAAAAGCACATCTGAACTGGGGATAGTGTATAAGTTCAAATACGTATATGAAAATGGCTTAATATAACAATATAAACAGTTTTGAAAGAGTTTAACTTTGTACTACTGTGAGGGAGGTAAATGCATGAGCAATGCTGAATCTTAATTATTTTAGAAAGGTACTCCTATGCTCCTCTTACACTGGTGGAAAATGGGAGTGTGATCAGACTAAGAGCATTTGCTGTAATAGAACTAATGAGAACATGGGGTGAAATCCTGGCCTACTGCAATTAGTTGGGAGTTTTGACATTGACTTCAAAGGAGCAAAAGCATTTCACCTCTGTTTTTCTATTGATTTCTTTTGGCTTGTACTACAACACCATTTTAACTAGTCGTAGTTTTACGTAACATTGTCTTTGTCTTTCCTACATATTTTGTGGACAGAGTCTTCAGGATGATAATATAGGATTTGTAGTGTACAATTACTTTCAATCATCTCCTGAAATAAATTTGGGGCAAGCAGACAATGACTGTCCAGAAAAGTAATCGAAATGACCAGTTTACGTGTCAAAAAATCCCAATAATGTATTACCCAGTCCCAATATTTATTTTCATAAGAAATCTTTGTCCATAAAAATTGCAGTTGATTTAATTCCAGAAGGACTTTGAATGTCAAAAGAACTATTAACCTACCTTTTCATTCAAAAGAGATGTTCTGTGATGCAATATGATAAAACACTGAATTACAACCACTCCAATTATTTTTCACTATCGCTCCCTGACTCCTCCTTTCTGGAGGACAAAAATGCTGAACTTTCAGTCTCCTACGTACATATACATACTTTTTTCTAAAGCTTATAGATGGGTACTCCTCTAAATATTTTGAATCATTGCACATGTGATAAAATATTTTACATTATATAGATTATAGTTAAGTATGAATTACTTTTATCTTGACAAGCTTCACTCTGAATCCTGCTGTTTGGAGCTCTCTTCTGTTTGTGATTTATACTGACAAATGATTTAATGCTTGCTTTTTGTAATTGAAAATTTATGTAAATATGTTCCTTAGTGAGGTGACAAATAGCTCTGATTAGAGTTGGGTAGTACTTTCAGGTACTGTCCAAATTATCCTCACAGCTCTGCCAGTGTACTGCATTTTGCACATTCAGCAGTCCTGAAATTCTAGCTCTGGATGTCTCCTGAATCCAGGCTTGCCAGATTGTCATCAAATATTTTGCTGGCTTTTGCAGGATGGACAAGTGCTCTTTGGGGTTGAGAATAAAACCACTAACTCACGTTCACATTTGCTTTCGTCCTTGAAACTCAAGTCTTGATGTGAAACTCTTCTGATTTAACCCATAGATGGTTGGAATTGCTAGACTGTTAGTAAAATGAGTGCATAAATTAATTGCCATTTTAGCATAAACATTTGTTTAATAACCTGATGACTTCTATTGTGTGATTAAGCCGTGTTCAGGCAGAGGAATAGTTTAGGCCCTAACTTTAAAGTTACTTACATTTTCAAGTCTTTGAAAGATTGGGGATTCACTGTCTATCGCTATTACGATTCTACTGAGGATATAAAAATGAATTCCCTTAATTGTTAGCACTTACGCATTTTTGTTTTACTTTATAATGTATTCACTTCAGAGAAGATAAACACATAATAAGGTAACTAAAGTACTACTGCATTTTATTAAGGGTAGTGGAGCATACATAGTAAAAATAAAATATCAGCAATAACGTGTTTATTTAGAAACTGGAAACTTCTGCAACATGATACTGGAGCATATCCAGAATTCAGCAGTAAGTATTATTTCTCATGGTAGTATGTACCTGAAGGGGCATTTTAGGAATAAAGGAATATTCATCTAGGCAAAGAAAATCATCTGCCGTAAATGAGAATATGAATATGAAAAACACTTTAAGAATTTGAACTGAATATTGTAAGAGTGAATGTGCTCTTAGCCTTATTCTAGCACAAACTAATTTTAACTGAATATATAGTAAGGTTTTTCTGATCACAACTGGTGCAATTTTAATGAGCAACGTTAGCAATATTCAGCACCTGGTAGGATTGAATTCTTAATTTTATATTTTTCCATCTCAGTTCAGAGTTTTTGGCTTCAGTTATATGCTTGCGTATGTGTTGTGTATGCTAGTTTAGACTGTTTTGCTTCTAACTTGTACTTTGAATGGAATTCAATAGCTATGATGGAGCAAATATTTGATTAGTCCATGTGGTGAAATTTTGCTATCATAAATCAGAATACAAGCATACTCACCCATCATCCATATGAGTGTCTACAGTAGATAATAAAATCCATGTATGCAGGTTCCATCCCTTATAAATCTGTGTTGCCCAGTGCACATCATTTACTCAGTTCTTTGTCCTGCATTTGAAATATTTTTGACCCTCTCCTAAACATTTTTGACAAATGGGGTTTGTAAATAGATAAAGACAGATTTTCCCCAGCTACAAACTCCATTTATCAAAAATATTTTGGAGTTGTCAAATGGATTTGTTTTAGATTATAATATAATAATATTCACTTGAATGAATAATATAAGGTATTAAATCAGACACGTTATTCAGCAAGATATTAAATCTAATATTAGTATAACACTTATTCACTGGTATAAGGTGTTCTTACTAGTGTTTCAAGTATAAATACCTTTTAAATGAGTGTCTAAAGTAAACATAGTCCTAGCTTTCTAAATAGGCTTTTAATCCATTTATCATTATTATATGCTGTTCGTTCACTGGGTAGCCAGAAAAGTGCTAGGTATCATAATATAGAAAAAGTAACAGGAGTCTCTCCATTGACTTCAGTGAGATTAGGGTTTTATTCAGGCCTGGGCAAAATACGTCCTGTGGGCTGAATTTGGCCCTCCAAGCCACTGGATCTGGCCTGCAGATGCTGCGGGGAACCCCAGGCAGGCTCCCCGCTTGCCTTGCCCAACCTGCACGCTTCTCAGAAACGTGGCTGCGGGGTGGTTTTTCTTTAAAAACTGCAGGGGACAGGGAAGTTTTAGGAGCCACTCCCACTCCCAGCACAATTCCATTGGCCAATTTCTGCCCAGAAACCAGCCAATGGGAGCTGTCTGTTTCAATAACAGGCAGCCACCAAGCACAAGGGGCTCCAGAGCACGTGTCTGCTGCCTGTGCAGGGCCGGTGCAGGCACATAGAGTTCTGTCTAATCACATGTGAAGCTGTGCTGGCCCACAGCTTAATCAGCCCCACCCAGTCAGAGGCTCAGGGTTAGTGACTGAGAGGGGCTGATTAATCACCAGTGAAGCTGTGCTGCTTCTCAGGTTAGAGGGAACACTGGCTGGCAGGGAGGCTGATTCAGGAATCAGCTGATGGCTGGTAAGTCTCCTGGCCAGACCCTGCCTCTGGCACCTCTACCCCCTACTCCACATGCTCAAATCCTCTGCCCCCTTCCTGCTCCCCTATCCTCTCCCAGATCAGTCTTCTCCTGCCCTAACT